AGCGTTGCTGCAGGGTGAGGCAGTGACCCAGGGCACGGCCGCGCCGGGTTAACGCTTGGCCGGGTTAGTTCATAACCTGGTAACGTCCGGGCTCACCCCAGCAAAGCAACGACAGCGGAGGGTTGGCCTCGGCCGCCTTTACACCCGCCGGGTTGGTTGGAGGCTTGTTTAGGGTGCTGGGGGCAAAGCGAGCTCAGCTCACTTCTGACCCGTGATGCCACTTCTAGAGTCTTTAAGTGTTAATTCGCTCGGAGCTTGTGCTGCAAAGACGGCCCAGCAGCCCCCAAACTGCTGCCAGTGAGGCAAAGTGATTTTAAAATGACTCCCCAATAGTTGGCTGATGTGAGCAAGAGAGGTAAAATGGGAGTGCTGCGAAGGAGGAATTTGGAGAGCATCACGAGCCTTCTGGCCACGGCTGATTTTGCATCTTACTGTGAAGAACATGTGGGGTAAAAGTGAGTTTTGGAAGTGGCCTTTGAGAGCTGGAGATGGAGCTTAGGGGGAAAAGGGGGTGCCGGCTGGGTTTACCCTCCTGGTGCTTGAGGGGGAGCAGTTCTGCGCTGGTGTTTCTTGGTCCTGATGCCAGAGGAGGGGTGATTTCTGTGCTGGATTACCGGCTAGTGCTGGTTTCTGCGTGTGTAGCCTACGCTGGGCAAAATATTAGGTGCCATCAGTGGTTCTGCTTCATTAGCCTGAGGCTCATCTGCTTAAGAGACCTGCCTGGGCAGATGTGTCACCTCTGCATGGAGACTGTCACAGGGAAAGGAAGCCTCTGGAGGCAGCTTTTCCAGCACCCCACAGGCATGGAGAGAAGTAGAAGGGGACAAAACCAGAAGACCTTGTTGGGTCTCCTGTTAGTGAAGTCTCAAGTGTGACCCTGAAAGCTTTTTGGTGCCTTAATGCGTGAAGCTTTTTGATACAACCTCATGGTTCAACCCCTTATTGCTTCTTGGTGGAGAAGGTGGACCTTGGTTGGAGCTGTGGGGTGGTGCAGTGGTTGCACATTGCATGGCTCATGCTTAAAGGGTGAAGTCCTAACCACCCCGAGGGATTCGCACCTTGTGCCCTCGAAAAGTTCTTTAGCTTTAAGATCTCGTGTGTCCCTTAATGTGAGTAAGGAGGATCTGCTGCTCTGAGGTGTGGGTCACTGCCTGATGCCAGCGTGGCAGGCTCGAGGTGAGGCTTGGCCGGGTGCGCTCACCCCTGCTGGTGTCTGTGTTGGCAGGTGAAGGAGCTGGTTCTTGATAACTGCCGTTCGGATGATGGGAAGATCGTTGGTCTCTCCTCAGACTTTGAGAACCTGGAGTTCCTCAGCATGATCAACATCAACCTGCTGTCCGTCTCCAACCTGCCCAAACTCAACAAACTACGGAAGGTGAGTCCGCCCTGTGGTCCCCTCTCCAGCAGGTCTGACACTTCTGCTGTCCTGTCCCTGGGGGGTTTTCCTGTATTTGCCAGAAAAAAGCCATTTGATTTTGGTTTTTCCTCTGTAGCCTTCAGCCTGAGCAAGTGACAGAGGTTGTTTTTTAGCAACGAAATGCTTTTGAGCTCGCTGTGTGTTTGGGGATCCTTTGTATGTTTAGCATCCTTTCTCTCTGCTTTTGCTGTCATGCTACTATCAGAGGCTTCAGTAACATAGAATCGTGGAATGGTTTGTGTTGGAAGGGACCTTAAAGTTCATCCAGTCCCAACCCCTGCCCCGGGCAGGGACACCTTCCACTAGAGCAGGTTGCTCCAAGCCCCTGTGTCCAACCTGGCCTTGAACACTGCCAGGGATGGGGCAGCCACAGCTTCTCTGGGCACCCTGTTCCCCAAATACCAAATTATTATATTCAAAATATCATAAATATTAGTGATTTTAGAGCATGTGCCCCTGTGTCCTGCAGCACGGAGGTGGCTGGGAGTGCTGTGGGCAAGGGATTTCAAGTGAACACTTCAACTGCAGCTCTGTGGTGTGGTCTAAGGAACAGGGTGTGGAACTTGAGTGTCCATTGTAGTCCAGTTCTCAGGGCAATTTTATTCCCCTTGTTGCAAATTGAAGCCCTTTATGACTATGTGATATTCCCTCTTGGCAGTTGGAGCTGAGTGATAATAGGATTTCTGGTGGCCTTGAAGTTCTAGCAGAGAGAACTCCTAACTTGACACACTTGAATCTAAGCGGCAACAAGATCAAAGACATCAATACCCTGGAGCCCTTGGTGAGTGAAAGGCTGTGCTGGAATCTAAGGGATGATGTTGTTTCCTTTGGGGAGCGTGTCTGTGCAGCAGAAGTCCAACATCTTGGTAACTGTTCCAACAGCACTTTGTGGTTCTCATGGGAACAGATGAGTGGGACCAATTTGAGGCTGGACTAACAGTTAATGGCTTCTCTGTCTGGAAAACCAGCAGCCAGTTGCTAAAAGAAGCATGAAATGAGAAAGGACTGTTAATGGGTCAGATGCATTTAGAGGTAGGTGGCACCTGAGGTGTCATGGAGATGAGCTGGTTAGACACCAGCAAGGGTGTTCGTCCCGTCAGTCCAAAGGCACTGTTGTGCTGGGCTGGGACCCTCTCACCCTGGGTGCTGTCACAGCACACACTGCAGGGTTCCCATTGCATCTGCACTGCCCCAGAGAAGGCTCTTGCCTTGTGATCCTGCCTCTGTAGCTGAAAGGTCTGATCTAGGGCATTGCCTCATTAGTTGTTGCCTTTGGTCCCTTCAGAAGTAGCTTGAAGCCATTTTATTCCTCCTTTGCTTGACCTGCTGCACAGTGCAAGGACTGGAGCAGGGGAGCTGCTGTGGCTGTTCTGAGAGGCTCACAGGCACTTTCTGCGTGGTGATTTAGGTTTTACCTCATGATTTGGGCAGGATGAGTCCAGCTCAGTGATTCCTCCTGCTGGGGAGCTGGGCTTGTTGCCCACCCTGTTCAGAAGAGAGTATGGTTTGGATGTGGTTTCACAGGGAGCTGTCTCCAAGGTGGGGAAACTAGGACAGAGGAGCTGAAAAGAAGTCTTCTTTGCCTACAGTTACCAAGAGTAGTAACTTCTCTCCATCTGAGGAGCACGTGGTGGGAATTAAGCATGCAAAGGCACTTCTGTACTAGATGTGGGTAGCAAACCAGCTGTCCTGTGATGGTTGCCTGATCTTCAAACAGTGTCAACTTGTCAATAATCTAATGATTTGATCTTTGCAGAAAAAGTTGCCAAACCTCCATAGCCTGGACCTCTTCAACTGTGAGGTGACGATGCTCATCAACTACCGGGAGAGCGTGTTCACCCTCCTGCCCCAGCTCACCTACCTAGACGGGTATGATGCTGATGACCAGGAAGCCCCTGACTCAGACCCTGAAGCAGATGGGGATGCACTGGAGGATGAGTATGAGAATGGGGAAGGTGAGGATTTTCTCTCGGTTTTCTTGCTGGGGAAACAACCCCATTTTTAGCAACGTGACCACTGCTATAAATCATGTTTCTAACTTGCCACTAAGGTGTCTGGGTAACCCCCCTCCCTCCTTTGGCAGGCTGGGGAAGATGTGAGACTTGCTGCAGGCTGACAGGGCTTGTTGCTGGCACTCCTCATGCATTCTTGCTGTGATTTCCTGCCTGCTGCTCACGTAGCACTTGGGCTGGAGGTGTGAGTGTTGGGGAACCATAACACTTACCTCCCTCTCCTTTTGGTAGAAGGTGAGGGTGAGGAAGAGGAGGATGCTGATGAGGAGGATGATTTGGATGAAGAAGTCATCGATGATGAAGAAGATGAAGATGATGATCTGGAAGGTGAAGAGGAGGAGGACGGAGTAGATGATGAGGTGAGGCTTTCTGTCTTTGGTTTGTGTTTGACAGTGTGTTTATCCCTTCACCTGGTGACCCATCTGACCAGGCACCTCGGGTGGATCTGGGAGTGCTGCTGTGTGCTCCCTTTTCCCATACACCTTTTGACTCGTTGTGTACGGAGTGTGCCAGGTCAGACCCATTTATTGCTCAGCCTGGTACTTCCATGGCTTCCAGGGACAGAGCTGAACAGCCCCTTCGTAGGGATGCAGGAAGCTGTTCAGGAACCGATAGCTCCTCACTGCTTGGCTTGTACTTGACACCCTGAGGCTCAAGTAGGGCTGGAGCAGAGCGGAAGGAAGATGTTGCTGTGGAGTTACACCTTGCTGGTGGAACTGTGACTCTTGCATCAAAGCATCTTGTTTTGACTCCAGGAGGAAGATGAGGAGGAAGATGGTGAGGATGATGAAGAAGATGAAGCTGATGATGGTGAGTTGAAGCCTGACAAACTAAGTGCTTGCAAAGCTGCCTTAACATTCTCACATCTGCTGGTTTTGTAGAGCTTCCCAGGCTGCAGTGCAGTGCTGGTGTTGCCTGCAGCTCTCCCCTGATCGAAAGTGCAGCCTTTTGGCTATGGCCACTGCTAAAGCTGCTGCTTATGCATAAGCTGACCATTGGATAGTGGTTATAACCAAAGGGTCATACACTGGTGATGGGGAAATGCGTTTCAGTGCCTCCTAATACCAACCAAGCTGGGTAAGTGCCTAAATATTAAAGAGGCAAATTGACTAGAAAACCAGTTCGAAGTAGCTTGAACTGGTAGCCTTGTGCTGGAGGAGGGCTTCTGTCACAGAAGCTCATGGTGGCATTGCGTGTGAGGAAATGCTCTTGGACACACACATTCCTCTCCTCTCAGCTGTAGGGGAGTGCAGACCCTTCTTGACACGAGTCCAGACTCCTCTGGCTGTAACAATCTATAAACACCTGAATGAAAGCTCCACAGAATATAGTGACTGGTGTGACTTCAGATCACCTTGTATGAGCCTGGTCCGAAGGGACTGAATTCTTCGAAGCCAAAAAGAGCCCATTGAAACGTGGGGTGCTTGGAGGGCAGTAGTAAACAGTTAATGCCTCGTGCTAGTCCCGGCTTTCCTGGCTGCCATGAGAAGCTGGGCAGGGTGGATCTCTGCTCCGGAATGGTGCCAGTCTAGTCTGTGCTTGTTCACCAGCAGCTCGAAGCCCCAGTTCAAATGCTTTCAGTTCACACAAGACTGAACTGAGCTTCATGCTTGGCCTCTCTTTGCAGACCTGCCACGAGGGGAAAAGAGAAAACGAAATCTAGAGGATGAAGGAGAGGAAGATCCAGAAGACGAAGAGGACGATGAGGATGACTGATCCCAGCAACCCAATCAGTTTTACAGACTCTGACTGTGCTTGTCTTAACCTCCCCGTTGTGTCTATGTGAGACTGTAAATCCCCGTCTCCCGCTCCTCCCCCCTTTGTATGGCTGCAGCGTCCACAATATATTTTTTTAAGATGTAGAATCCTGTAGGCATTCAGGGGAATCTTCCATCCAAGGCTCACTTCTCACAGGTATCCATGACCAAAGGCTTTCTCCGTTCTGTGGTTTGTGCAGCAGTTTGCAAAAACAAAACAAAAAAAACACAAAAGAAAGAAAACACACACACAAAAAAAAAAAAAAACCAGAAAAAACCCTATTTCCTCCTCCTCGGGTATCTTTTGTGTCTGAAATCAGCTTTGCCACACTGGACCCAGAGCTCCAGCTCCCACCCTGCCCGACAGCAAAGAAGGCATTTGCTTATCCACATGCCCTCAGACCAGCTTTCTGAAGACGCTTGAGCCACCTTGAGCAGTGGGTGCAAATCTGGTTCATCTAAATGGACTCCAACGCTCCCTGAGGTCTCTGTGATCAGAAATAATGGTGATGTGATCTCTGGAGATGCTTGAAGATAACTTTAGTGCTGGGGATGGGCCGTGCATGGGGTCTTGGGAGAGGGAGGGTGGCTGCTTGCACCTCTGGCGATGCACCTTTCAGTAGCCCTGCAGTTGCTTTCCTATTGTTTTTTTATAAACTGGAATCTTTTTCCCAGTGGCCACCCAATAACTTCTACTTGGATGTCCAAATAAGCCTGATTTCTGTGGCTGTGAGTGTCTTTGCTGTGATGAGGCCTCTTGTCACCCCGTAGCAGCCTCTGCCTTTAGGAAGAGATAGGAAATAGCAGGTGAAGGGATACTGCACTTGTGTCAACCTCCATTTCGCACTGTACAGAACACGTTCAACCAGTATCACTGTGATGCACCTAACTCGGCGTTCCCCGGGAGACCGGGTTAGCCTCGATATTCTCAGGGTCCTTCTGCTAGCCAGTACCAGCTCTGGACAGTTGCCTCAGCGCTAGCCTGGTGTACGCATCCTCTTCCTCCTCCTCTTTCTTTCTTAGCATGAAGAGAAGTGCATTGATCAGAACCCAGCTCTCTCCCACTCGTGTTCATGCTCTGATGGTGCCGCAGAGCAACGAGTACCCTCAGCCCACGGTGGCTGGAAGGAGGAAGCAGGGATGAGCCGCGTGTAACTCCGCTACGGAGCGTTCCTCACCCCTTGCCCACCCTTCCTCTGCCTGGAGGGGTTCACCCAGCACATCCACGAGCTTCACTGGCCCCGTGGCACCCAAGGGATGGTAACTGGGTGCCGCAGAGCTGTGCTAGGGCGGGAGTAGCTGCTGTTCCTCCTGCTCCCCACGGATGCACTGGCACTTTGTGGCATTCCCAGTGGGCAACCTGCAGGCACCCAGAGGGGAGACTCGGCAGCGGTTCCTGCAGAGGAGTGGAGTGTGTTGCAGCACATCCCAGTTCCTGTTGCTTTGTTCTGGTCTTGCTGTCGTCTCGTGTTGTACAGTAGCTGTAACCATTCGGAGAAGAATTAGTCCTGTAAAATGCAAACTGAGTAACTTATAAATGTTAAAGGAATTTTTTTAAGAAAAAAGGAAATTTCAGAGCAGCAGTTACTTCTAATTTTTTTTCCCTGCATTTTTAGCAGATTGTATGGATTTTATATTAGCCTAGTGACTGTCAGGTTGCAATTGGTCAGACTAGTCCCAGGAATAAGAATCTCCAGCCCCTTTTGTATCTTTTGTTACAAAATTTGGATAAAACTTTTAATAAAGACTTCAGTTTTTAAAAACCCATCGCAACGAGCCTTGTCTTGGCTGCCTCCGCTCTAGGAACACCCCGACTGCCC